CCTAAAGCTCTGCACACACGGTGTCCCCTAAAGCTGGGCACACACGGTGTCCCCTAAAGCTGGGCACACACGGTTCTCTCTCCTGCTCTGCTTTGATCAGGAATTCGTTTTTCCCCAAGTCAAGTCTGCTTTGCCCATGCTGGCAATGACAGTGACCTCTCCCTGTCCTCACCTTCACCATTTTTAACAGAACGCCCTTCAACACCCCCGAGCYGCCCCTGTTGTGACAGTGACTGCGATCAACGCCCCTGATAAGTGACAGCTCTGCACCCAACTGCTGCTGATGTTCCTGTGCTTCTAAATTGCACTTGAAAGAGGAACCTGTAAAACTATTTCTTTATAAGTTGCTGCGGAGAAGAAGTGTGGAAGCTTTTCCATTTTTTCCCGTTCATAATAACATCCCAAAGCACTTTGCTGCCTCGAGGCTGCTGAAGGGATGCTGTGAGCTTCAGGAGGGCTCTGCAGAGAGGGGAACAGCTCCTGGATGCTGAGTTATCTGCAGCTGGGGGAGGCAAGAGCTGATTTGCTGCGTGGTCCCCAGGACATGCAATCATGCAGAGGTTGAAGAGTGGCTAGAGCAGCTCACACTGACGATCCCTCGTGTGGCCATCGATGCCCACATTTCCTTCCGCAGCTCCAGCAGCTCACCATGCCCAACGACAGCGTGGCCCTGAGCAGCCTGGACGGGATTTACATCGGATTCGAGTGCCTGGTGGCTCTGTTTGCCACYCTGGGCAACATCCTGGTCATCTGGGTGGTGAGGCTGAACTCTGCCTTCCAGAACACCACGCTCTACTTCATCGTGTCGCTGGCGCTGGCCGACATCGCCGTGGGGCTGCTGGTGATGCCGCTGGCCATCGTGGTGAGCCTGGGCATGGCCGTGCCCTTCCACAGCTGCCTCTTCATGTGCTGCCTGATGGTTGTGTTCACCAACGCCTCCATCCTGTCCCTGCTGGCCATCGCCATCGACCGCTACCTGCGCGTGAAGCTGCCCACCAGGTGAGGCTCTGCTCCTTTCTGTTCCATAATCGCTTCCAGGGGCTGCTTGTGCCCCAAAACTGAGCTTTCCTGACAGCCCGGGGTGCTCCTGAACAGCTCGGTGGGGTCTCACCAGAGATCAGAATTTGGTCACAAGATGTGGCTGTGGGCAGAATGTTCAGCTCTTTGGTTAGCTGCACAGGATGCTGAGTGTATTTCTTTGGGTTTCTTTGGGTTTCTGAGGCTTGTCTTTTAAATAAAATTCCTTTTAGTATTSGCTGAAAATACAAAAGTAGTAATAAACTTGTTAACAGTTAACTGAAGTCATTCACTGTTTAAATGAAWAGCACACAAGCTAGAAATGCACAGCAGGACTTCAAACATCTAAGGATTCATATTTTATAATAGGAAAGTACTTATGAAACTAAAGAATGGATTTTAGTTCTACAAATGGCATAAATCAAATATAAAGAGGAAGGTACGCCCAAGGAACCCAAGGAATAAGATAGGACTGCTAACAGCAGCAAAGCAATGTCKTGCAAGAGGAGAACTAAGATCATAATGAAACAAGAAATAAAATAGATGGAAACATCCCCTTTTAAACAAACAAGGGAACTTAGGCACAGTTCTTACTAACGCTGGAAAGTAACTGTTACAAATGAAGAGCTGGGCTCGTCTCAAGGTGAAATTTGGTTTTCTCTCAAAAAATGTTAATGCTTCATTTTCTAACAATAACCTACAGTACCTGAACACGTGAGTTCATCCTTAACTGCTTCAAAGCGTTTCTCTTTGACACAGCCTGGGTTTTCTTCCCCTGCAGATACAAAATCATCACCACGGAGAGGAGAGTGTGGTGGGCACTGGGGCTGTGCTGGTCCCTGTCCCTGCTGGGAGGCTTCATGCCCATGTTTGGCTGGAACAAGGCTGGTCCAAGGAGCCCCAGCTCCCTCAGGTGCCGCTTCGTGGCTGTCATGAGGATGGATTACATGGTGTATTTCTGCTTCTTCACCTGGACCCTGGTGCCCCTGCTCGTCATGTGCGCTCTGTACGCTGAGATCTTCCACATCATCCGCACCAAGCTCAGCCAGGGCACCAGAGGGGCCGGGGCTTTCTATGGCCATGAGTTCAGGACTGCCAAGTCTCTTGCACTTGTTCTCTTCCTCTTTGCAATATCCTGGTTGCCTCTGTGCATTATAAACTGCGTTTCCTATTTTTACCCCGAGTCTCAGATCCCCCCGTATCTGATGTACTTGGGAATCCTCTTATCCCATGCCAATTCTGCCATGAACCCCATCGTCTATGCCTGCAAGATAAAGAAGTTCAAAACCATGTACCTTTTAATTCTAAGGACCTATATCCTGTGCAGAAAAGCAGACCCAGCTCTTACAGAGCAAACAACAGACCCACAGACACCTGAATAAAGGTGGAAGCTGCCAGAAGGTACCAGARCAGTGATCAACAGCCTGGCTTTGCCAAGAAACTCTTGGGAAACTGCAGCAGCATGTAGGCCTGAAATACTCCAAAGCTGAATGTTAAAGTATTTCTTTATGTTCTATCATTACTAAACGCAGCAGATGGAAATTGTGTCTGTTATTGGGGGTGTTGGGGTTTGTCAATGTGAGGATTGGCTGAGTTGATTGAAAAATAGGATTTGTTCTTTGCTGTTCATAATCCAGCAGCTCCCAACCTTTCTCTTCTCTGTTCCTTTAAACTAAACTTGAGCCTGGTCAGCTTGTGCTTTGGCCACGTTTTTATCCATGTCACATTTTTATCAATAGTAATAACAAATATTAGATGGAATCCTGCTGAATCCTCCCTGACAATCAAAAACCTGTCCAGTTTCAGTGTCCTGTGGGGATGGCACAGARGTTGCAGTAATTGTTACGCCACAGCTGACACAGCCCAATTTTAGGGAACATGGCTCAAACTGAAAGGAGGTTGTTAAAGGCCAGGCTCTTTTTTTCTCCACCTTTGAATAATAAAAGTGGTCTAGAAAAAAGCAGAAAAGGGAGTACATCATTGTGTTTCTTATCTTTGAGAGTGCTGGCATCTGCTCCTTTAGCTGAGATCAGACATCTCATCTGTTGTCTGATGGARCCCTGGTCAGAGGCCACAGCTCTGCCCAGTCACACAGCTCAGCTCGATAAATAAACCAAGGGAAGCCACTGCATGAGAACATCACAACTGCTGCAGCATCTCTGSTGATCATCGATGGACCCGATTGCTTTCAGCAGAAAAAACAGRTCCCACCCAAAGAGCGGAAAATTCTTCATTAGAACAATGCACAGGGGTGGTGGGGAACTCTGCTGCTGTGTTTTGGATAAATTGAGGAAAGAGAGA